TTTGCTGAAGCAGCTGGAGAAGGATGGAGCCGTTAAGGGTCTGAAGCTGAACGGACAGCCACCCGATTACAACTGTGAAATCTGTTTGCTTTCAAAGTTCACCCGTTTCCCTTTCCATAGTGTGGCTGGCAGGAGCAAGAAGCCTTTGGAGCTGGTCCACATGGACTTGGTGGGGCCGCTGCCGGTGCAAGGGCACAAGGGGGAGCGGTATTTTCTTACAATTGTGGATGACTGGAGCAGGCTGATGTGGGCGTATCCGCTGAAGCAGAAGGACCACGCCGCCTCCACGATACGGGACGATTGGCTGCCATTCGTGGAGAAGCAGGCGGAGTGTGTAGTGAAGCGGATTAGGACAGACCGGGGTGGTGAGTTCCTTGGAGCTGAAATGACGGCCTGGCTCAAGAAGCAGGGCATCCAGAGGGAGCTGACCACGGCTTATACCCCACAGTCCAATGGTGTAGCAGAACGGGCAAACCGGACCATTCTGGAGACAGCTAGGGCGCTGCTCATAGAATCTGGGCTGAGCAACTCTATGTGGCCTCATGCTGTCCGGCACGCCACCGTCGCTAGGAACAGGGTGCTCACCAAGGTTGGGGATGACTCGTGGGTGCCTTTGGAGAGGTGGCTTGGGAGGAAGCCGCCGGTGGACATGCTGAGGGTGTTCGGTTGCATGGCAGTCGCCCACGTCCCCAAGACCTACCGCAGTAAGTTGGGGGCGAGTGCAATCTGGTGTGTGCATTTGGGGCTGGCTGCTGAGAGCAAGGGATGGCTGCTGTGGGAACCATCCAAGGGTGTGTTGTTTGACAGCAGGGATGTGAAATTCATTGAGGGCATGATGTATGGGAGCTGGGAGAAACAGCCGGAGGCAAGGGTGTCCCAGCAGATGGAGCAGATCACCATGCAGCTGGACCTGACTCCTAGTGTGTGGGAGGAGGGAGAGGAGGCAGCTGCTGGAAATGGTGATGGAGAGAAGGTACAGGAGGCATCTGCTGGTGGAGAAAATGGTGTAGAAACTGGCGGCAGCACTAGTGGAGCTGCTGGACCCGAGGGAGGAGAGAAGCAGCAGGGAAAAACTAAGAAGCTGAAGGGTGTCGTTATGAAGGGATGGGAGACACCCGTCTCCAGGCCAGGACGTACCCGTATGGCTACTAAGAAGCTGACTGCAGGAACTGATGCAGCAGAGCAGCAGCTAGGGACCGAAGAGGCATTGCTGATTCTACCTCATGGCTATGACCCGGATGAGGAGGATGAGCCTGCGTACTGTTTTCTTGCCCCTGCACCAGAGGAACCAGCTAGCATGGAGGAGGCATTAGCTGGACCAGATAGGGACAAGTGGCTGGCTTCTAGGGATGCTGAGTACCAGAGTCTGCTGGAGAATAGGACATGGGATCTGGTGGTGCTGCCTGATGGGAAGAAAGCGATACAATGCAAGTGGGTGCTGAGGATCAAGACCGATGACAAGGGGCAGGTCACCATCTACAAGAGTAGGCTGGTGGCGAAGGGGTTTATGCAGAAGGAGAAGCAGGACTTCAACGAGATCTTTGCTCCCACTGCCAAACCCCCTACCCTCCGTGTCTTGTTGGCAGATGCAGCTGTTAGTGGAAAATTCATCATTCAGATGGATATTTCAACGGCATTCCTGAATGGGATTTTAGAGGAGGATGTGTACATGACGCAACCGCCTGGGTATGAGGATGGTACGGGCAGGGTGTGCAAGCTCAACAAGTCCATCTACGGCTTGAAGCAGGCGCCACGCTGCTGGTACCAGAAGTTGGCAGCTGTTTTAGAGGAGATGGGATTCAGGACCAGCAGCTGTGATGAGAGCCTCTTTCTCAAGGGCGAGGGGGAGAAGCTGGTGCTGTTTCTGGTCTATGTGGACGACATTCTTCTCTTCAGCAGCAGCATGAAGGAGATCCAGAAAGTGCAGCAGCAACTGATGGAAAACTTCAAGTGCAAGAACCTTGGGGAGGTAAAGTACTACCTCGGGATGCACGTGGAGAGGGATCCAGATCACAGGTGGTTGAAGCTGCACCAGGAGAAGTTCATCAAGGAGCTGGGGGAGAAGTATGGGATTGAGAATGAGCGCAAGATTGCAACTCCCCTGCCAGCAGAATTCAAGCTTGTGAAGGCTGCAGAGGATGAAGGGGTTGAAGCTGAAGAGCAGCAGCAATTTCAGTCCTTGGTGGGCAGCCTCTTGTACGCAGCAGTTCACACGAGGCCCGACATCTCTTTCTCGGTTGGGCAGCTGGCTAGGGTGGTGCAGAATCCATCAGAGGAGCAGGTGGATGCAGCTGAGCGTGTGGTGAAGTACCTGAACTCTCACCCAAGCATTGGAGTTCAATACTCCGCATCTGCACAGGTGAAGCAGAAAGGGGTGGAGGTGCTGAAAGAGAAGGGGGAGAGGCTTGGAGAAGGCAAGCTATTTCTCACTTGCTTTACCGATGCTACATGGGCTTCTGAGAAGGAGGATTCCTCATCTGTGGGAGGATACATCTGCGTAGTTGGGGGAGGACCTGTTAGTTGGAGGTCCAAGAAGCAGACGGAGACGGCACTCTCTTCCGTAGAATCAGAGTACATGGCGATGTTCCATGGGGTGAAGGAGGTGATTTGGCTGAGGAGGCTGTTAGAGGAGATTGGCCAGGAGCAGAAAGTTGCTACGCCGCTGTTTTGTGATAGCAAGGGGGCTCTTGGGATGGCCAGGAACGCTGTGCTTCATGGCCTGAACAAGCACATGCGTATCAAGTGGCACTGGCTGCGTAAGGAGGTGAAGAGGGGGACGGTGCATCCGATCTACATCAAGACTCACCAGCAGCCAGCAGACTTTCTCACCAAGAGGCTTGCAGATGAGCCTCATTGGCGTTGTGTGCGCATTAGTGGAATGAGCATGAACTAGCATGGAATGATGGGGATGCAGCCGGCAGGCTGAGGGGGAGTGTGTTGGGTGCAAATTTACATTGCACGACATCCTGCCGTCTGTTTGTACGAGTATGCGTGTGCGAATGCATTTGCGTGTGAATGGTGTGTTCGTGTGTTTGTTTGCTTTCGCATTTTTTCGCTTGATGCATGTGCAGGTACTCGCGCAATGTGCGCTTTGGCACAACATTGTATGCGCTATGAACAGTGCAAGCAGGAAGGACGAGCTCGCAAAGGAACCCAAGATGGAAGCTTTGCAGTTCGGTTGAGTTGATTGCGCAGATTCAGTTCTATCCAACTCGGAATTGTACTGTTTTGTTTGGTTAACTATAGTGTAGCAGGGAAGGCACTATAGGGGTACAATTTAGGTGAAGGTTGGATGTTGTTTGTCTGTATCTGCATGCTACAAGGCCAGGGGAAACCAGCGGAACCAGCATTTGGCTGGTTGGGCAAAGACAAAACAGGTTCTGTTTTTAGAACCTGAACCTGGTTGTTGTTTTCCCAGGTTGGAAAAACAGAACCAGAGGTTGTTTACCAACCTACCACCTGCTATTTTGTCCAGCCAGGTTGGTTCTGTTGCTTGGAATTATTTGGGATCATCCCTGGTTGTTCCCAGGTTGATTCCCAAGGTCCTTGCTAGCTAGAACTATTTAATCCTTCTCTGTTTGTACCTGAATATAGTCAAATTGATTCAAGCGAATTCCTTCCTCGCTGGAATTTCGTTTCTGCGCTATTCGACGGCGAAATGCTACCCGAGTCAACGCTAGTATGCTAGCACTCCAACGCTAGGCAAACGCTGTCCGAGCCATAACTTAGTAATGGCAGAACTTTTCGCGAGGCAACTTGGCTCATTTTAAAGCTCTTGGAGCGAGCTTCGATATAGCAAATTCTCAGCTTAATCCGACCGACGGTCTGCACGGCACGCTGCGCGATGTTCAAGGTACTCTTGCTGTTTTGACTAAGTCCTTCTTGATCCCTCTCTCTACAAACTCGGACCCGAGGATAGGGGCTGGTCTTGTACCAGGCACCCAGGGACCCTTGGAGGTGACCCCGAGGAGAGGTTTTAAGTTTGATTAAGTCCTAATAGCTTGAGTTTATTAGGCCCTTACACCAACACTGAGCAGTAGGGGAGAGGTCCGGCTTCTTCCGAGGCTCCGTCCACGTTCTGCTCGTCCCAGTTAGCCTCGTCTTCTGCAAAGGCTCGGTCTCCACGAAAGCCACCTGCGGGGTCTCGATTTTCGGCCAGGTTGGCAAGGTACGTTGGCAGGGTGAGTCGCTCGTAGAAGATGACATCACGTGCTGCCACTGTTTCTTTTGTCTCGACGTCGAAAATCTTCCATGCGTTGTAGTGTTTTTCGATGCCCAGGTGTAGTCCCCATTGTGCTCGTTGGGAGAATCGTCCTGCTCGTGCGGATGGGGGTCGGTACTGTACCATGCAGCCGAAAACTCTCAACATTTTTGTGCTGCCCAATTTTCCTGTCCATAGCAGATGCGGTGATGCGTTGTTCGGAAGTGAGGACGAAGAAAGCAGGTTGTGCAGCATCACGGCGTGGTCCATTGCTTCGGGCCACTGATGGTTGGGTAGCCGCATGCCACGTAGCAGTTTTCGTATGGTGTTCTGTAGGGTCCTGTTCATTCTTTCTGCTACACCTTGCTGTTGATGGGCGTAGGGAAGAGAGATGAGTCTCTTGATCCCCCTTTCTGCCAGGTACTGCTTGAACCTCTGTGAGGTGTACTCTCCTCCCCCGTCTGGCTGAAAACTCTTTAGTTTGGCGCCCGATTCCCTTTCTGCTTCGGGAAGCCACGCGATGAAAGCTTCGAAGGCCATGTCCCTGCTCGGAAGGTTGAGATGCCAGACGTAGCGTGTTGCTGCGTCGATGAACGTGATGGTGTAGTTGTACGCGTTCTGTCCGGGGGCGCGGTTGTACAGAATGTCGCTGTACACCTTTTCGAGAGGCGCGTAGACCGGAGCGCCGGGATTGTGGTGAGATGGGAACGGTTGATGCGGTAAGTCAGCTTCGGGACAGGTAAAGCAGGTTCCTCGTGCTCGTTGTAGTTCTCTCCCGTCGGTTAGTAGTAGTGAGTCCTTATCGAGCACTCCTGCCCTTATCGTATTATTTAACACTGTGTTGCTTGGGTGTCCCATCCTTGCGTGCCAGGTGCTTTCGTCGGCGCGATGTCCGGGTGATCGTTGATACAGATCGGAGTTGGAGTAGAAGCCGGCGGTGACGTTGGCGCTTCGGTGGACTTCTCGTGGTGCCGGTTTGAGTTGCTGTGCGGGTATCGGTGACGTGTCGTTGATGAAGAGCGGTGCCGTTGAGGGACCAGCGACTGGTGTTGACGTTTCTGCTGCTGCCGTTGTTGTCTCTGCTGCTGCTGATGTTGTCTCTGCTGCTGCCGATGTTGTCTCTGCTGCTGCCGATGTTGTCTCCGCTGCTGCCGATGTTGTCTCTGCTGCTGCCGATGTTATCTCCGCTGCTGCCGATGTTATGTCTGCTGCTGCCGATGTTATCTCTGCTGCTGCCGATGTTATCTCCGCTGCTGCCGACGCTCTTGTTCTTTCTGCTTCAGGTATTGTGTGAGAATGCCAGAAGCCGCCCAGACTGAAGTCTGGATCAAGATGTGGAGGGTGTGTTCATTTGGTGAAGTTGACGATGGCATCGCTGTCTGCGGTGCCGAGATCAGGGACGAATTCAAGAACAAAGACGTCGTTCTTGAGGACCGCCTTCCCGATATAAACACCACCTCTCCCGTGGTACAACTTGAATTCTTGGGTGGTGCTGTCTGCTTCAAGATGAATCCTTTTCGCCATCAACTGACTGACGCTCAGTAAGTTGTAGCCGAGGCCTTCTGCGATTAAAACCTTGGACATCTGTAGGATGATGTTTGTTTCTCGTGACTGAAGTTGAACGACTGCGCAGGTTCTGATTGTTGGCGACGGTGATGACGACTTCTCGTTGGAGTTGGTACTCTCGCTGTACGAAGCGTCCTGAAGAACACATGTGCTGTCCGCAGCAACTGTCCAAGAACCACGTGTCTTTTCCGGATGGCTCGCTTTGGGCGATGGCGGCGTATGTCGGGTTCGGCTGAAGTGACTCGCGGCGAGGTGTCGTTTCGTCGAGTTGTTCTTCTGGTGAGTAGTGCGGTGGTGATTCCGTGACGCAGGAATCGCTCAGTCTTGCCATGCAGCTGACGATGTTTCTTGCTCCTTGTGCAGGTTGTCCCGTTGAAGTCGTTGAAGCTTGAACCTGGTTTGTGGGATTCAGTTGCGTTGAGGCGACTTGGTTGCTTGAGGGTCGAAGTTGCCGCTGTGGAGTCGTTGGCTGTTGACGATTCGGGCAGTGCGTGCGCGGGTGCCCTGACGTCTTGCAGATGTGGCAGAACGGAGGTACGGGTTTCGGTTGATATCGGATATTGTTGTTGTTGTAGCATCGTTGAGTGTGAAATTGCAAACTCCGGTGCTGATGTCTTTCTCTTACGCCGTTCCTCTTGCAGGTCCATGTCTTGCTGCTCAGCGTAGATTCCCGCGCAAAGTGCTGTCTCTTAGACTCTTCCGTAGGCCCGGAGAATTGCTTTGGTGGCGCGCCATTGAGTACCGAGGCCGCCGATTACGACTGCCACGAAGGCGTCTTCAGATATCGACCCTCCGCATCGAAGAAGCTTGTCGCGCAGTTCGCGACAGCGACTGATATATGCCAATCCTTTCTCGCCTGGTTTCATTTCGACCGATGTTAGCTGCGCCATTAGCCGACTCTGATCGACACTGTCTGTTGCTTAATACAGGTCCTTCAAGTGCTTGTACGCGAGCTCAGCGGAATTGCCGTAACCCCGGTAAGACCGTATATTCTGCTACTGGGTTGGCGTGATGTTCCTCAGTAGAATCGTGTACGCCATCATTGACTGATAGGTGTACTGCTGCTTCTCATACTGTGTGCCGTTTGTTGGGTATGGCAGGGACCCGTCGAAGAAGCCAAGTATCTGCGCGCCCTCCATCATCAACTCGAATTCGAACGACCAGGTGAAGAAGTCCTTTCCATCGAAAGGTCTTGACGTCTGCAGCTTTAGAACGTGCGCGAACTGTGATTGCACTTGTAACGCGTCCAGTGGTTTGTCTTGTCCAGGTGAAGGCTGCGGGTGCGGCATGAAGCTGATGGACCCGCGTTCGTACGGAGCAAAGGTAGGTTGCTGCTGTTGGTTTCCGCGCGCGTACGATGAACCGTCAAGGCTCATTGGAGTCACCTCGTTGCTGTTGTTGCTGTAGTTTGACTGCGCAGGTGCTGACTGCTGGTGTTGCTCGTAGAACGACATGAAGGAGAAGAACTTCTCCATCATGCTCTGGTCGAAGCTGGCAGGTTGACTTGCTGAAGGCACTGCTGGTCTTGATGCCGTTCCCTCCTCTGTTTGCAGGCCAGAGGTAGGAGGTGGAGTAGGAGTGGGAATAGGAGTAGTGCCCTGGGAGCCGTTAGAGGAGCTCCTTTCCTTTTGTGTTGCCATGTCTTGTGATGACTTGGATGTAGTGGAGTTTCCCTTGATAGCTCTCATACCATATTGGGCTGAGAAAAGCCCTTAGGATCTTTGCAAGGGTGAGCTCTGGGTAGAAACAATGTATTAGCAGAAGCTTTGAATAAAGAGATTAAACCACCTTGCGCTGGTATGTGAGGGCAAAGTTGATTGATTAAAGCAAGGAGATACGAGAATATATATAAGATTACAAGGAATATGAAAGGATACAGTTATAACTACTTTTACTGTTGCTGTTGCGGTTCGATACAGTGACGACTCGGGCAACTGCTCTGTAGCGAGTCAGTTGTGTGTCCTTGCTGTCGCGCTGTACTTGTCAGGTCAAAGGTCGCTGACCTTTGACTTTCGCGTAACCTCCAGCAACCTCTCAACCTCCGAGGGTTGACTCGCCAGTGCTTCGATAGGCCTTGCTTCGCTTGTGCCTTAGTGTTTCGACACGACAGAGGCGCTTAAGATTCATTGTTTCCAACATATATAGCCTCGTGTTGTACCCAGGTGATCATTCAATTCAAACTCTCTTTTTTGAGCTCGATCCTAGATCCTTACAGTCGTAGTCGGCGCCGTACACCTGCGTGAAGCCCTTCACGACCAGCCTAGCCTTCTCGCGCTCGACGGTGTCGTCGATGTGGTACTTCGTCGTCAGCACCCACCGGTTCTTCATGACGTTTACCCCCGGTGGCCGTTCGACCAGCTCCCACGTCCCCATGGCGATGAGACTGCGGATCTCCTCCTCCATGGCGGCCTTCACCGCCAGGCCCTTCCAGCTAGCCAACACCTCCTTCACCGTCATCGTTGAGATGTCCCAGCGGTGCTCGGGGTCGGCGTGCATGTCGGGGTCGAGTTTCGGAAACTCTTCGTCCTCGTCGGCGTCGTCGTACAGCAGGTCGGGTCGCCGACTGCTCCATGGTCGGTCGCGCTGCTGCCTGCTCCCCTGTCGGCTTCACCCAAGTCGGCTGCACTTCCTCGACCTGCTCCTCCCCTATCCAGGTCGACTGCACTCCCATGTCGACCTGCTGCACGTCCCGTCGGCCACCGGCGATGCCCTTGGTCGGCGCCACAGGCGACGCCCTTGGTCGGCGCCACAGGCGACGCCCCACTGCTCCCCTCATCGCCGGAGGCCGACGGCGGAGTCAGCCCACGCAGGTCGACGAGGGGAGGGGCAGGGGAGGGGGAGGAAGGGTGGACGACCTCGGCGTCGTCCTCAGCAAGCTCACCGACCTCGGCGAGCAGAGGGAGCGTTGCCGTCTAAATAGCCGTCGGCGTGGCTACCAGCGTCCGCCCTGACACTGGCCCATGCTCCGACTTCCACACCTCGAGCGACATGGTCTCGTAGAACACCACGTCCGACGTGGTGACCACCCGGTTGTCGGCGATGTCGAGGAGCTCCCAGCCCTTGCTCTCCTCCGACACGCCGAGGTGAAGGCCCCACTTGGCCTTCGGCTTCAGCTTCCCACCACGCTGCTGCTCGGGGACGAGGAATTGCGCCATGCAGCCCCACACGCGCGCCAGCGACAGGTCGGGCTTCGTCCCGGTCAGCAGCTGGTATGGCGTCGTCCCCGGCGTCGCCGACCGCTCCAGGCAGTTGCGGACCCAGACGGCCTGCCGCAGAGCGAGGTGCCACCAGTGGTGCTGCACGCCCATGTGCAGCAACATCGTCCGCACCGACTCCACCACCGTCCGCATCTCCCGCTCCGCCATGCCGTTCTGCTGCGGGGTGTAGGGGCAGGTCAGGTCGTGGACGATTCCCTTGCCGTCCACGAAGGTAGTGAACTCTTTGCCGAGGAACTCCCCTTCTCGGTCAGAGCGCAGCTGCAACACCGACTTCTTCGTCTGCCGCTCCACCAGCACCAGCCACTTCTGGAACTCCAGCAGCACGTCCGACTTCTTGGCGACCGGCCTCACCCACACGTAGCGGGACTTACGGTCCTTCAGCAGCAAGAAGTACAGGCTACCGTCCTTGGCAGCCACCCGGAATGGCCCGCACAGTGTTGGGTGCAAATGCACATTGCACGACATCCTGCCGTCTGTTTGTACGAGTATGCGTGTGCGAATGCATTTGTGTGTGAATGGTGTGTTCGTGTGTTTGTTTGCTTTCGCATTTTTCGCTTGATGCATTTGCAGGTACTCGCGCAATGTGCGCTTCGGCACAACATTGTACGCGCTATGAACAGTGCAAGCAGAAAGGACAAGCTCGCAAAGGAACCCAAGATGGAAGCTTTGCAGTTCGGTTGAGTTGATTGCGCAGATTCAGTTCTATCCAACTCGGAATTGTACTGTTTTGTTTGGTTAACTATAGTGTAGCAAGGAAGGCACTATAGGGGTACAATTTAGGTGAAGGTTGGATGTTGTTTGTCTGTATCTGCATGCTACAAGGCCAGGGGAAACCAGCGGAACCAGCATTTGGCTGGTTGGGCAAAGACAAAACAGGTTCTGTTTTTAGAACCTGAACCTGGTTGTTGTTTTCCCAGGTTGGAAAAAAAGAACCAGAGGTTGTTTACCAACCTACCACCTGCTATTTTGTCCAGCCAGGTTGGTTCTGTTACTTGGAATTATTTGGGATCATCCCTGGTTGTTCCCAGGTTGATTCCCAAGGTCCTTGCTAGCTAGAACTATTTAATCCTTCTCTGTTTGTACCTGAATATAGTAAAATTGATTCAAGCGAATTCCTTCCTCGCTGGAATTTCGTTTCTGCGCTATTCGTTGGCGGAATGCTACCCGAGTCAACGCTAGTACGCTAGCACTCTAATGCTAGGCAAACACCGTCTGAGCCATAACTTCGTAATGGCAGAACTTTTCGCGAGGCAACTTGGCTCATTTTAAAGCTCTTGGAGCGAGCTTCGATATAGCGAATTCTCAGCTTAATCCGATCGACGGTCTGCACGGCACGCTGCGCGACGTTCAAGGTACTCTTGCTGTTTTGACTAAGTCTCTCTTGATCCCTCTCTCTACAAACTCGGACCCGAGGATAGGGGCTGGTCTTGTATCAGGCACCCAGGGACCCTTGGAGGTGACCCCGAGGAGAGGTTTTAAGTTTGATTAAGTCCTAATAGCTTGAGTTTATTAGGACCTCACACCAACAAGCTGGTATCAGAGCCGCGTTATAGTGATCCTCGTTATAGGTAGCTATGGCGGGCAACACCTTGGCGGGAGCTGGTGAATCTTCAGCCCAAGATCGTAGCGGCAGCCAAGATTCTGGTCTTTCAGCGCCAAGGGGAGCGCGAACCAACCAGAGCTCGCTGATCAAGGAGGTGCTGAAGAATTTCACCGTCGAGAAGTTCAATGGTGAGGGCTATGATGACTGGGCCTGGAAAATGCAATTGTATTTCCGTCAGATCGGTTTGCTGAAACTAATGATTGGGGAGGAGCCTAGACCGAGTGACCCCGCCCTTCAGGAAGATTGGGACGAGCGCTCCTCGGCTGGCTACTATCTGATGTCGCAGAGTTTGGAGCTGAACCAGCGTCACCACGTCATGCATCTGCTGCCGGAGGTTGAATGCGGTCCGAAGGCGTGGACCGTGTTGAAGGAGCTGCACGCCCCGACCTCCGTTGTCGCAACGTTGATGCTGGAGAGGGAGCTGTCCGCGTTGCGCCTGAGCGAGGGAGAGCCGGTGCAACCAGTCCTGGACAAGATGCGCGACCTCTACGCGAAGTTGGCGACCGCGGGAATCACCTACCCGGAGCAGACCAAGTGCTTGAAGATGCTCTCGCTGCTGCCAGAATCGTGGCTTCAATTTACGAGCGGATTGAGCCTGCCGCAGAACCAGAGCTTGTGGACGCTCGAGTGGGTGCGGACGAAGATTCTGGAGGAGGACTTCCGTCGCCGCCAACTGAGGGGTGGAGACGACGGCAGCAGCGGCTACGGGATGCAAGGGAGCCGACGTGGCAGAGGACGTGGCTTCGGTGGTGCTGGACGCGGTGCAAAGAAAGACGACGACTCCAACGACCAACAAGGAGGTACCGGTTGGGGTCGCGGTGCGAAATCTGGACGTGGGGGCAAGTCGGGTGCTGGTGGCAAAATGAAAGGGAGTTGCTGGTATTGTGAGAAGGAAGGGCACCCCTGGTTTTTGTGCTATAAGAAACCCGATGGATGGACCCCCCAGAATCGTCACCAGGATGGCGGCGCGCGGAGGAACCAGAAAAACGGCGCCAACATGGTCGCTGATTCGTCCGACAACAACCCGAAGGGCAACGGCGGTGCGGAGAAGAAGAAGGAGCGCACCGCGGGCCAATTCTTCCATGTGGGAGACAAGGGGGAGCAAGGAGACGCCTCTGCCAAAGTTGGAGCAGAGCTGCACCCCCTAGACTATTGGGTGTTGGACACAGGCGCTGCTTGGACGATGACGCCGCGCAAGGACCTGCTGGACGAAGTACGAGCT